CCCCCCCCATGCCTTTGTTTGTTAAATGTTCATTTCATTCATTGTATTATTTCAGAAGTTCATGAAATGATTTTTTTCAAACTCTGTATATAGTTGATACATGGTAGTATACATATGCCCCAGATTATTTATTTGTTCATATTTCATACAGGCTGACTGGCGGCCATATTTTCCCCTAAAATTGCTTGAAATCCCTACATTTTGTGTGTAGAGCATTATCTCCAAGTTGTGCTGGCAGATTCTGTAACATTGATGTACTTGTAACACCTATTGGCACACTGAGGCACATTCATTACATTCTGATTTTTTTCAAAATGGCTGACTGGCAACTATTTGTATGTCAAAAATACTTATTTTTGTTCAATGTTGCTTATAACTTTAGAACTACTAAGTTTATTCAGACTTGGTACACAGAAGCATTGATATGCATGTTGTTTTTTATTGAGATTGTATGCAATTTGGCTGACTGGTAGCCATTTTGTTTCACGAAAGTCAGCATTTTTGTGTGTACACTTCTGCTTATAACTCAAATTCACAATCTTACAATACGTTAAATTTTGGTAAATAGATTACTGAGTTTTAGTACATCAACAAAAGTTGATTTGTGTTAGTTAAATCCAGAAATGTTCAAGTGGCAGCCATTTTGTTTGACGAAAATCTGCAATTTTCATCTGTAATTTGCACAATTCTTCCTGTCCAATCGGATTCAAACTTGTTTCACAAACAATTGTGTTCAAGCACTTCAACGATATTTATTGGTGTCAAGATTCATTCCAAAATAGAACCAGTACATGCACTTGTACAAAAAAGATCATATACATGCTGACATTTTGAATATTAAAATACAAAAACAGAGAGAACTGTGACATTCTCAATGGCTTGTTTGAAATAACAGTTTGTATATATGTTTTAATGTTTCTGGTTTATACTGGTAATGTACAGTTTGATGTTAAACTTGCATATACAGTATGTACTTCTTAGTTTCTAATTCTCCCAAGCTCAACTTGGAAGTGCAGAGCATTTATTCACCTGACAAACCAGTTACAGAATTCTCATTAAAAATGTGTAAAATGCCAAGTACATGTACATAATTATTTCAGCAAAATTGCTTAACAGTCACTATAAATTGTCAGTAAACTTTATGCAATTGAATACAGAATGTGCTAGGAAGCCTTTGGCTCTCTAATTCCGATGTATTTATGCTGACAAAAAGGTTTGAAACTGATATAGAGGATACAGAGGATAAATACGTGACCATGTGTTATCAGATTTAATAAGCTTGTGTAGTAATTTTCGTATCTTCCGAGCCTTTGCTTGTACACATTTTCAATAAACCTGCCACCAGTTCATACTGACACGAATGAGATCCTCTATAAGTCCTTGTAAATTAACAAGATTATTCTCTGAGGTCATTTATAATGTTTTATTGCGGTCTAGGGACTATTATATGATTTATTTGGTATGAATATATTGAGAGGAAATATATGTACTAAACATTCACTTTTTAATGATTTTCAGTATGTCTGAGTATTAAAGCTTCCTTTGCCATTGTGTGCTTAAATTTTATTTAACATTTTTTAGTGGTGTTGCGCTGTGCATGAATTCACAAAACCATTCACATCTGTTAAGAATTACTACAGCCTACACTAATTCAGAACAACAGCAAATCCTTAAATCTGTCCATCAATTTGAACATATTCATACCATCAAATATTTCACATAATAGTTTCAGGAACCCAGTCAAAATAAAGTTTGATAAATGACCTCAGAGTGCAACTTTAACCTGTTGAACACCATACTTTTACCCATTTAACCCGGTATTCTTTAATTTTTGACTAAATGTACATAATTGCTCCGTAGTAATGATACATAGAAATTGTGGTTCTATGCTTTCACTGTGCACAAATGGGAAATATTTAGGGCCATGATCAGATTAAATATGTACATAAATATCTACATGTACACTGAAGTCATTATTATAACATTCCAAGGTTGTGTGACATAACACTCAGATGAACACTGACCTAATTTATTGTCATACTGAGATAAACTTATATACCATATTTGCTCTATTAGTAGTACATGCACTTGCTTAAATTACAGCAGTGTTTCTACTTATGATTTGAGGTTTATATGCACTTCTATTGGAGATACGCTTCTAACAGAGCAAATGCAGCATACAGTTTAACCTGTGTATAGTAACCATTCATTAAAATGGTCTTTTATAAACAGGATCACCAACTCGTACATTTGACATATTTGTCCCAGAAAATAATGAGATGGTAAAAATACATTTACTTGAGATGATCAAAATCAAGTATATTTGACTTGAGGAAGTAGAAGTTTCTTTTATAAACTGAATGCTAATTATTATTTTAGATTTTGAACAAACTCGGGGCAAATCTGCAGAAATATTGCTGGATCAGGTGATCTTTTATACACAGATTGCTCATACTTTTAGGACTGCCTAAAGCAAGTGGTTTTTATATATAGGTGGTGGCTTAGAGCTTAGACTGATCAACTGAAACAACAATGACTAAAACTAGGAACAATTCATTCATTTCGATTTTACTACTAATAACTTTCACATGATGTACTGATTTTTTTTCCCTTCGCAGATTCTTCATCAGCTATAGTAGATTTAACACAAGATTCAGAAGTTGTTGATCTGACTCAAAGTCCTGTAGTGTGTCTAGGTGATAGCGGTTAGTATTCAATTGTTAATCCACTCTCTGTAATGCAAGTAAATAGGATCAATTACATTTTTCGGAACTGAAAACAAAGGTTATTTAGTGAAATGTTGTCATTGTCTACTGCGTTACCTTTTCTTGTCTGTACAGTCATTTACAGCAATTCCAGGCACTGATTTGACGCTGAAGTAGTGCTAGATGTTGATAACTTACTACAAAAGGTTATACACTTTGTTTTCACATTAACAGAAGTTGTTACAAATAATGCAGACAGTATGTCTGCAATTTGAAGCGCACCGGAAGAAAGCTCCGCCCATAAAAGTGGCGGTACATTAGTTTTGAATTTCTCCTCCAATAAACGATCGAAGCTCTCAACTTAGTTTCGTACTTTAATTTACGTCACATGTTATTTCAGTGAGAGGGGCGTATAAAGTGGTGGCACTGTAAAGAACGTTAGTTACCGGGAGAGCTATTTTACAGAACCAGCTGACCGACTGATCATGACAGAATTATTGATCAAAGTGCCTGCAACAAATGTCCTATGAAGACTTCATCCAGTATATCAATAATGAAATTGAATACATGAAGTAGAATGGATGTTATTCGATTATTAGATTATTATTAGATTATTAGATTATTAGATTATTAGATAACTTACTACAAAAGGTTACACACTTTGTTTTCATATTTACAGAAGTTGTTACAAATAATGCAGACAGCATGTCTGCAATTTGAAGCGCACCGGAAGAAAGCTCCGCCTATAAAAGTGGCGGTACATTAGTTTTGAATTTCTCCTCCAATGAACGATCGAGGCTCTCAACTT